ATAAGAAAATAACCTCGTCAATCTTCCAAAAGACGATACTCTTTCCGACACCTCAATCACGTAGGACACTGACTTCGCCTGTCTCGCGCAGACAAAGGTTTTTGATTTTAATTCCGGTATGGATACGGGCTCATTAAAAGGAATATTGGGCCATTGTGATATTTGGTTTAGGAGCCATTCAGGTCCATGCCACCACAGTCGGTTATCTATTAGATCAACAGGCAATAGCCCACGAGAGGGTAAATCCGCAGGGTTGTCATTGGAAGAGACGTGATACCATTCCTTTTCCGAAGAAATTTCTAAAATCTGAGATACTCTGTTTGCCACAAAGGTTTTCAAGGAACGCGTAACCATAGGCGTAACCAACAACTAAGCACGACAGAAGAATCTGAAAAGAAATAGGTTGCGTTGACAGACTGTTCAACAATGCTAGATATTGATAGCCTGGTTTGAGCTTATAATAGCGCGGCGCACAATTCCAACTTAGGAATAGATAATGTTTTGAGTGGTGCCAAACGGGTTTTAGAAACGATTAAATGTGTTTCTGTGTATCCGTCGCGAAACTGAACTCTCAAATAAATAGAAGTTGCATACCCCCGTTCCGATGCATCAGCGAAACCTACTAAGGTAACATGGGTAGGTATTTGGGAAAATATACAGCGAGGTATCCGTATGGATCGCATGATGTTAAAAGAATTCTCTATATTCTTCGGCTAGTCCTGGTGGAAGTGGAGAGTCCCAGTTTAAATCCTTTAAACTCCATAAGTGTTGTAAGTACGCTTTGGCCTTAAATGTGACTGGAGCGAGATAACCTAGAGGATCGTACATCCGAGCGACGGCAGACATAATACCCTTTTCGTCATTGTTAATTCGATAGGTTGAATGTCATAGGAAAGACAATCGTGGACGGAATCCCACTGCAACCCCAGTAACTTCACGGATTTATTGTCTGTATCTGAAAATTGTATCATCCCTTGCCTCTTACTTACGGAATGTAACAGCTCTGGAGTATTACTCATCCATTCTTTCAAACTAAATCCCCCCTTTTTGAGTAATTCAACTAACTCATACTGAAGTTCAAGGGCTTCATCAATAGTATTCGCGCCAGTTAGAATATCATCCACATATATATTATTTTTTAAGGCATCGGAAGCTTTTAGATATAACGGTCCTTCATCTACTATAAGCTGATGTAATACACGAATCGCTAGGTATGGAGAGCACGATAGACCGAAGGTCAGTCGATTCAACTGATACTCCGTAATTGGTTGAGATGCATCTACGCGATACAGAAAATGTTGATAAGGCATATCCTTGTTGTGCATTAATATCTGCAGAAACATGTGACGTATATCTGAGACAATTACAATTGGTTAACGCCTGAAATTAAGGACCTATCAGGAGGTGGTCATTGAGGGAGCCAAATTCAGTAGATGACGACGCATCGAAAACTATACGCAATTTTGCATAAGTATTATCTTTTATAACACAATGGTATGGTAGATAATATTGACCCGGACTAGTTGCTGTTGAAACATATCCCAATACCAAATATTCTTTAATTACAGTCGAATATTTTTCTTTTAATATTGGAACCTTATTTAACAGGTGCTCCAATTTAAGAAAACGGTTGAGGGCGCTTTTGTATGAATTACCCAGATCAGGTGGAACCTTCCGTTTAAAAGGCAATCGGACAATGTAGCGTCCGTTTAGATCTCGGGAGTGAGTTGATCGAAAATGATCTGCGATGACATTTTCGGGATCTGCTCTAGATACCTCAGGGATTGCTTCGACCTCCCAGAACTTCCTAATGTTCTATTTAATGTGTCCTCGGGTTCCTTATACGAAGTAACAAGTGAAACTGATTTATCCAATGCCATAGAGTGAGAACCTATGGGTCCAATTATCACCCAACCGAAAACGGTTTGGAGTACATTAGGATATCCTTCCCGATCTATGCACCCACCAGTTAAAATTCGCCCAAACAAATCGGCCCCCAATAAAAAATCGACTGGGCCAGGTTTCCCAAATGAATTGTCTGCCAGGTCATAGTGGTTAATAAAATGATCACTTATGTGGCTTGGTATTGGGCTGGTTGGTATACTGTCAGTGATATTAGGAACGATTACGGCATCGGTTTCGAGACTAGGAAACAAACTGTCTTTGGGCACTAATATGCAACGAGTTTGGTATTCCCCTCCCTTTATCGGACTATCTCAAAAACCCGTAACGCCTGCGGGTTAGTAAATCCCCTTATTCCTAGATTTTGAACGCATTTTGAAGAGATGAATGAACGTTGTGACCCACAATCAATTAAGATCCTAATAGGAACGTATCGTCCACTACTATCTTTTATTCTAGCTCATGCTGTTCCCAAAAGAATTGAGGCATTGGTCCCGGAAGATGATGACAGAACTGTGCCTTTTGTTTCATTGATTCCCCTATTATTTTCTAAAGTGGATGTAGTAGTAGAGGACTGTCCATGCGCGTTACTTAGCGAGCTGGGAGTAAAAGTGGGAAAGTGTAATAACGTATGATGCCGCCTTTTGCGTTGGAGACATGAAGCTGCATTTGAGCACGTGTTGGCATAATGACCAGGTTTTAAACAATTAGAGCACAAGTTTAGCGGTCTTAATTTATTGAATCGTTCTATAGGTTTCATTAATAGGAAACGCGGGCAAAGCAGCGTTATATACAACTGTGTCTTTCCTTACACAACGGACAATTATTGGCAGTTAAAGGACTGTCCATCGACATTAATATACGTTTGGATACCGTTTGTGATCTATGAGCTTAAGCATTCACACCTATATTTGAGGTTAATGCATCTGCTTGTAATTGAATACATTGCCGCTGTATACAATTTGAAAAATCATCGAAAGTTGGAATTTCGGTAGAGGATCCAAATTTGGTTTCGAAACGTTCTCGCGTCTTAGAATCTATTAATCTTAAGCAGTACGTGAACAAAATGAATCCGGAAGGGTCCTTAAGATTCATATTTCGGAAGGCCGTCGCACTTTCTAACACGACCTCTGCAAAATGCTCCAATGAGCGAAAATCAAATTTAGCAATTGGTTTAAAATTAAACACATTGATCAGATAGTTTGTGGCGTGGATTCTTTTATTATCGTATTTTTGTACTAAAATTGCCCAGGCTTGTTGATAACCTTCTGAAGTGGTCAAGATGGCCACAATAGACTGGAGCGCTGAACCCTTTAAAGCCGAGTTGAGGTAGTGAAATTTTTGAATTTCGGTCAACTGGTTATTATTGTGAATTAATGATGTAAATGTATCTTTGAATGATACCCATTTAGAAATTTGACCGTCAAAGGTTGGTAAATTTATTGTCGATAATTTAATACGGGTCTCGAACTCCATATATCTACTGTCACTTATCGCTGTTGTGTTAGTAGAAGCAGGTTCCCCCGCAAACCCAAGAGATATTGCCTCGTAATAAATATTTCTAGTTTCAATTCTTAATTCATCGATTCTTGAGATCGATGCGTCTTCAAGAATTTTCGCTAATGATTTAGCCTCACTAATTAAACCTTGAAATTTATCATATATGCTGTCTAATTTAGACAGATGCGCCTTAAATAAATTTATCCTATTCGAATTTTTAAAACAATCGATACCGATATCTTTTGTTTCTGTTATATCTTTGGCAAATTCCCCTAATTCATCTTCAAGGTCAGCCAGATGAATTTTATCTTTATCTATTTGGGGCCCCATTGCTTACCTTTGACCAGACCTATAGTAGAAAAAATATAAATATCACTCAAATTTAATATTTCAAAATAAATGTTTAAATCCGGCCCGAACTGGACCAAAATTATGTTAGTCCCTCTTAGTTTATGTCAAACTTCGAATGAAGCCTAACTATTTAATTGTGATTTAATAAAAGAAAAAAAGAAATAAATAAAGTGGACTGTATCTTCAAACATTTATTTTGGAACATTTACGAAATCTAATATTGAAAACATAAAAACAAAAAGAATCAATTTTACCTTGTTAGATAGGTAAAAAAATAACAAACTTCTAGCATAAAATTAAGACCAGCTGAATAAACAATTGTGACAATATTAATGAAACATTTTCATGCTTGATCATAAATAAAAACTTTTCTAAAGTCCCAATATGAAATTTATATATATGTATATAACAAATAATTAGATTGTACAACGTTACGTGGACGAAGCAGGACGTTCGTAAACCTCTGTCTCTCTGCAGAAACCAATTGTAACTCTTCAATGAGCGTGCTCAAAAACGAACTGCAAATGGGCAGCGGCGAGCACTACGAGAGAAGTAGGTCTCTTCAGAGTAGAACTGCAGTGGGCAGTGTTGAAGTTGGCAGTGCTCAGCTCAGTCGCGGGCAGAGTCAGACCATCTCTTCTCAATTCTACCGCCTTATGACTTGAACCTAGCACTTGTTTATAGCTAGTGCTACTACAATCCATAACAAAGTAGTCCAAGTATAGACTATTGATTTATTTAATATAAACAATATAAGCTATGGGCCTATAATACTTAATATACACCTATCTTATACATAAATATACATATTATTAATTGATTTCACTTTGCTAAAATAAAACAAATCAACAATTAATCAAACTAGTTAAGTGTAAAATAAATTGAATTAACGCTGTGGCGTTTTTAACTGTAAAAATAAAATAAGTTAACGCTGTGGCGTTAACAATTATGGAAGTAACTATGAGCCTACTGATTTCAATGTAAGATAGGTTTCAAAGTCAATTTAATTGCTTTAGGTTAGGAAAGGCAAGACAGAAGATATCAAAGATATGTTTTTCTAGGAAAGAGTTTGTTAGTATTTTACTCATATACTAGTTTGGCTGAGTTACAGTTACAAAAAAATTGTTTTTTGTATTTTCCTTATTAATGTTTTCTGTTTGTAAAATATGAGCAGGTAGCTATTATTTTTATTTTTTAATGCTATTAAATTATATTTATGCACTAAGTTATTTATTTCCTTTGTGTAGATGTTCCAGGAAGCAGTGGGGATGCACCAGTGGTTGGAGAAAAAAAAACTATTTATGGTATTCTTGGTACTATTAGGCTACTAGCTGGGCAATACCTGGTAGTAGTGACTGGCAGAACTAAAATTGGTAATATATGGAGAAGGGAAGTTTTTCAGATGGACTCTGCTGAGGTTATATGTTTTTCTAGAAGTACCACTCATCTGAATGATAAGCAGGTAAATCATTAAATGTAAAATTTTTGGTTTCTTTTTGAAGCAGAGAAGAAAATTTGATTAATTATTCTGATAATTTAAATGTGCTATGGAGGTACCCCCTGTTTTGCCCGATGGCGGACCAGCCGCTATTTTACAAATTATACAACTGTTCGTTTAATTATACTACTCATTGCTCAAATTGTATAACTTTAATTTACATATATTCTGTAGTTTAGATTGTATAATTTTTATCAACATAAAATAAACTGAACGAAACCACAGTTCGGACAAATTTTTAATTTCTTTAAAAATCTATATTATACATCGGACCTTATTGCAAATTTATATTATTATATAATTATAATCATTCTTATTGCCAATTTGTTACCATAATATGCAGAGTGTCCCGTAAGTAGAGGGAAATTTTTATAGGAGGTCTACAAAAAGTTCATATAAACAATGGGCCAATTCTCAGCAGAAAAGTAGGAAATCCAAGTTAAGTGTTTTTTTAAGTAAGAAACGATAAATAAAGAAAAATTTAATTTAAATAGTTGACAATTGCTATACTGTAAACCAGATACAATTTTCTTAAAATGATAATAGAGCTTGTTATTGTTAAAACCATTTAAACAGGACTTTTGCGTGGCTAAACTTGGCTAAGTTTGGTATTTAAAAAAATCATAAATTATTGGCAATTTTTTTTTCTCATTGTCCAACTGTACTACAGATATCCCACTTTTTTAAAAACTTCTTTGTTTTAAAACCTTAAGTCGATATTAATTAAATTGAGGTTTATTAGGCTAATTTTTGAGATTCATCTCAAGTTGAGTTGTGTAAAGAAATGTAATTTTTCATCTTGTCACCTAAAAGTACCTGTGTTTTAAAAAAATGTGACTACCATTAACTATAGCAAAGCTTTAATTTTTAATTTTTATAATAATGGTGGAATAATGGCCTTATTCCATAAAAATGAAAATCTCAAGACGCCAAATAGAGGTACAATGAACAGAATAAAAGCTTTAAGGAAGACGATGGTCCGGGGTGGCGGTCATAAATTGACTAAATAGTGGCAAAACTATTTTATTAAAAGCCAACGTTTTGACCCGACTTTGCACGTCTTCTTCAGGGCTAGAACTGACAAGATACAAAAATATATAAAAAATTGTGGAAGTTACATAGTATTTAGACAAAAGATTATAAACAATATGAATAAGCTTATTAAAATTATAAATAGTAAGTAAATTAAAATATTAAGAACAATAAGTTGTATAAACAGAGCAAGCTAAATAACAAGATCCTAAACTAAAGTAAAGAGATGGTAACAATTGTTATAGTATAATGTATAATATAATTTATGCAATTGTGAATTTACTCCTACAGTTTTACAGGAGAGATTGGAAGAAAAGGAAACAGGATAGAATATGAAATAATGGACTTGAAGGGATGTGGAGAAAGAAAAGAAGAAAGAAAACCATAAAATAAAAAATTAATAAATAAGTAAATAAAATAGTCTATTTATGACCCCGGACCATCTCCTTCCTTAATAATACAGCGGTCAACTATTAAATATTCAATAAAAGCTTTAATTTCTTGTTTTTCCTTGATCTGGGTTATATTATAATAAATATATTTTCCCAAATATGTTTTTTATTTATTAATAAAAAAATAATGGTTTGTTAAATACTTTTCATGTAAAGAGTTTACAAAACTATTTTTCTCCCAGATCTCTGTCAAAGGAGTTATCCGTATTTATGTGTCAAATTTCATGTTTCTAGTCCTAAGATTTATGTTTTTATGAAAACAATTGAAGCAATCAACAAGGTTTTTTTTGTTTTAAACATAGATTTTAGGACTAGAAACATTAAATTTGTCACTTATGAATACAGATCAATTCCTATGACAGAGATCGGGGAGAAAAACACAATTTCGTAAATACTTCACATGAAAAATATTTAAAACATCATTATTATGGTTGATAAATGTTCAAGACGCAGTCTTTTTTTAATTTTTTTATTTATGCCAACGTTTCAACCCAAAATCTTCAGGGCGTGGTTTGAGCACTGAGGGTGTTCAAGTATTTAAGAGGGTGTTGAGTACTTGAACACCCTCAGTGCTCAAACCACGCCCTGAAGATGACCCACATGTTTCAGTTGAAATGTTGGCATAAATAAAAAATTTAAAAAGACTGTCTTCGGGTGGGGATTCATGGCGCAAGTTGAAAAATAGAGATTTATATATTGGTACGTGGAACGTAAGGTTCACTGGCCAGGGGAGGGCTCGATGAGGGAAGGAAAGTACACTATTTGGTAAGGAGGAAGCGGAAATCATTGTTTAGGTTCCGGGTTTCTAATTAGGAATAGATTGTTATCCGCTTTGAGGGACGTACAATTCTTTAGTGATAGAATTTCGGTAGCTATATTTCAGGGACGTTGGTTTAAAATCGCATTAATAAACATATATTGTCGATGAAGTCAAATGTGAATTTTACGATAAACTCGAATGGGTTTATGATAAACTACCGCGAAACTCCATGAAAATAATTGTAGGTGATGCGAACGCAAAGGTGGGAAGGGAAGAAGTTTATGTGCCGACGATTGGTAAAGAAAGTTTGCAGGAATATAGTAATGATAATGGGATCCGTTTGATAAACTTTTCCATCTCGAAAAACATGATAATTAAAAGTACTACGTTTAAACATAAGGATATTCACAAATATACTTGGACATCACCGGATTCACAAACACGAAATCAAATCGATCATGTCTTGATACAACATAGCTGACAAAGCAGTATAATTAACGTACGGTCTTACCGCGGAGCAGAATGTGGGTCGGATCATGAATTAGTAATCGCAAAACTTCGACAAAAACTTCATATAAAAAAGAGAAAAAAAAACCATTTCGATTTTGAGAAATTTAATTTAGAAAAATTAAAAAATCCATCAATAAAAACCTAATTTCGAGCTAGATGTCAAGAATAGGTTTGAAGCTTTAGAGCTTTCTGATGAAGACCGCGAAGATGTTGACAAGTTATGGATAGAGATCAGAGATAATATTAAAGCGGTCGGTACCTCGTGTCTAGGAAAAAAGGAAAATAAGAATAACAAACCGTGGTTTGATGAAGATTGCTTAAACATGTGCGAAAAAAGAAAAGCTGCTAAATTAAAAGCTCTAAGTAATCCTAGCGAAGACAATCGTGAATACTTCCGAACCTCAAGGAACGAAAAGACAAAATTGCTCAAAAATAAAAAAAGGGAGTATCTTAAAAATAAAATAATTGAAATAGAAACTAATAGAATTGAAAATAATGTAAGAGACATGTACAAAGGTATAAACAGATCACGTAAATGTTTAGGACCCGTAACGTCTGGAATTAGGGATGAAAATAACAATATTCTGACCGATCCGATTGACATATTAAATAAGTTTAAGAACCACTTTGACAATATTTTAAATACAGGAAATTATGATCTGTGTCCTCCTTCTGAGTACCAGAGTGCTGAACCGAGTAAAGAGGAAGTTGAAGTAGCTATCGCAAAATTAAAATTTTATAAAGCAGCGGGAACCGATAATATTCCTACTGAACTAATTAAGGCATGCAGGGAAGTTGGAGTTTCCAAAATACATTTGTTGGTTAAAAAGATCTGGGAGAACAAGAAATTACCTGAAGAATGGAAAGAATCTATTCTTATTCCGATTCACTAAAATGGCCCGAGGACGGATTGTAATAACTATCGAGGAATTTCACTCCTTCCAGTATGTTATAAAATATTCACTTTAATATTAACTAGTAGAATCACGGAATACGCCGAGGAAATTATTGGAGACTACCAATGCGGATATAGACGGAATCGTTCGACTATTGATCAAATATTTTCTTTACGGCAAATATTAGAAAAAAAATTAGAGTACAACGGTATTGTTCACCAGCTGTATATCGATTTCAAAAAGGCTTACGATTCTATTGATCGCCAGAAACTGTATAATATTCTAATCGAGCAGGGGATTCCCAAAAAACTAGTTAATCTAGTCAGGATGTGCTTGACGGAAACACTCAATAAAGTTAGAATCGGTAATAATCTGTCCGAAAAGTTTGAGGTTCGTTCAGGTTTGAAACAAGGGGATTCCCTTTCGCCTGTCCTGTTCAATTTGGCATTAGAACATGCCATTAGGGAGGTAATGTGTACCGAAAAAGGGTTAGATCTGCGTGTCGCAACACCCATGTTGGGCTATGCGGATGATCTGGTACTGTTAAGCGAAGACGTGGAAACTATAAAACTGAATTACGACAACGTTAATGAAAGCCGGTAAACAACTAGAACTCGAAATAAACGTGGATAAAACAAAATATATGGTTAGCTGCAAAAATGGCGATACTACTGGTGATATCAATATAGATGGTAATATATTTGAACAGGTAGAGATGTTTAGGTATCTAGGGTCTACGATAACTAAAAAAAAAACGAAATTGAAGAAGAGATTAAGGTTAGACTGAAGGCGGGAAATGCTTGTTATTTTTCTATGACAAAACTACTTAGCTCGCGCCTCTTGTCCCGCAACTTAAAAATTAGAATCTATAAAACCATTGTCTTACCTACAGTTCTTTATGGTTACGAAACGTGGCCGCTTACATTAAGGGATGAGCAACGACTTAAGGTTTTTGAAAACAAAGTATTGCGCAGAATATTCGGACCGAAGAAGGATGAATTAACTGGAGAATTCAGACGGCTACACAATGCCGAATTGCGTGAACTATATCAGAGTAATATAATTGAGGTGATTTCATCCCGCCGTATCAAATGGGCTTGTAAAATTGTTGTGCTTAGTAACGAGAGAATTCCTAAAGGATTAATATTTGCTGTACCGAATGGTAAACGTCCGAGGGTTAGACCGAAGCGAAGGTGGGCAGATTGCATTAAAGCCGATCTGAAGGGACTAGGTTTGGACGGCGAACGGTGGAGGGAGGTGTGTAATGAGCGATTGATGGTGCCAGCATCGAACCTTCGGGTTCGCTAAGTCTTT